TCTCTCTCTCTCTCTCTCTCTCTCTCTCTCTTTCCCTCTCTCTCTATCCCGCCAGTGCCCCGCTAGATCTGAGCCGCTTGTGCCTGTTGTCGCCGTCGTCGCCGTCGCCGCCCTCACTGCCACCACTGCCATGGGGAAGAAGAAGTCCAAGTCCTCCAGCAAGGGGGACGCCATGGAGATGAAGCAGATGGACGCCGGCGAGTCGGTCCCTCCGCCGCCCTCCTACTCCGGGTATGTTCTCCTGGGTCGGCCCCCCCCGTGTTGCCTGTGCCCCGTGCCTCCCCCCTCCCCCCCCCCCCCCCCCCCCCCCCCGGGCCCGGACCCGATCCCCGTTCGTCCCCTTCGCGGTCTGCAGCGTGGTATGTCCCGGCCTAGGCTCGTCCCTCATTGTCTTCCATCGCACCTTATCCCTGCTCCCCCCCCCCCCCCCCCCCCCTCCCTCCTCCTCTCGCCCGTCCTCGCCGACTGATCGCCCCCTTATTTGTGCCAGTCCACCGCACCCATCCACAAGCGTCGCTGCCGAGACGTCTTCTGGGGCCTGCTGTTCATCCTCTATTGGGCCGGCATGGCTGTCCTCGGGTATTTCGCCTACAAGCATGGCGACCCAAACCGCCTGATTTATGGCATCGACTATGAGGGCAATGTTTGCGGTAATGTGGACACCTTCACGGGGGTCGATAACACGGCCCGGCCCTTCCTCCAGTATCTGGAGCTTCCGTCGCCGACGCTGCGTGGTGCGTGTTGTCCCCGCTCCCACCTCGGCCCTGCGTCTTGCCTATGCACTGCATCCGCTGACCCTGCTCCGTGCCTGTTCCTTGGCTTCTCCCTCCTCCCCCCCCTCTCTCTCTCTCTCCCTCTCTTGCCCGTTCATATGTGGGGTTTGTCACGCACACAGGCCAGGGCATTTGCGTCGAGCGTTGCCCCATTGAGTCCATGATCTTCGAAAACAACTACAGCTCCTCTCCCTCGGACGCGGTCTGCCTTTACAACACCACGGTCACCACAGGCTCCGAAGTGGTGCAGGGTGTGTCAGATGGCTTCTGCCTGCCGTATGTGGTCAAGAGTTCCCCCTGTACGTGTGGGCTTCCTCCCTCGCTCCCTCCTTCCCTTTCCCTCTCTCTCTCTCTCTCTTACCGCCACCATGGTTGACATTCTGCCATGCCCGTGATGCTGACTCCCGTCGCCTCCGTCTTGCCCCCCCCCCCCCCCCCCGCTTTGTCCCTCCGATGGGCCAACACAGTCCTCAACCGGTGCCTGCCCTTCCTGGATGAGGCCGGCGACGCGGTGCTCAACTCCACGATTGTCAAGGGCGCCCACAACTCGGTCATCGCGTGGCTAAATGAGCGCGGCGTGTCGCTGGCCATCAACCACGATCTGTATGCCACGATCCCCTACGTGGCGGCGGTGGTGGCCCTGTCATTGGTGCTGTCCTGGATCTGGCTCCTGTTGATTCAGCTTCTGTCCGGCTTTGTGGCCTGGATGAGCATCATCTCCGTCATCGGGGCTGTCTGCCTGTCGACCGCCTACTTCTGGTTCAACTACCTGCGTGTGCGTTCCACGCCGGGCATTTCGCCGGCTCCACCGTCTCCCGACCTCTGCCGGCCCCGTCCGCGCGTCTGTGCTTGCGCGCCCTGCTGACCCTAAGCATGCCCTTTTTCTCCCCCCCCCCCCCGCCTCCCCTTGGGCGGGGTCTTGCTTGTCCCCAGCTCCGCGACGGCTTGCCCGTCATGAACGCGGTGTTCCTCTACGGACTGGACACCTTCGTGTACAATGAGCACACCTTCCTGGCGCTGACCATCATCTCCAGCGCCCTGCTGGTGATTCTCCTGCTGTCGCTGCTTTTCCTGGCCCGGCGCATCAACCTGGCCATTGCGATTATCCGTGTGGCGGCCAAGTGCGCTTCCCTCGCCCCTGCTTCCTTTCGTGCCCCTGTCTGAACGGACTCCCCTGCTCGGCCCGGCTGCGCACACCATGGACTAATGGTTGTCTCCTCCACCACCGCCCCTTCTGCCTCACCCAGGGCCGTATCGCACCTGCCGCACTTGGTGATCCTGCCGCTTTTCGAATTCCTCGGGCTGATTTTCGTGGCCGGCTACTATGTCTTTGTCTGTGTGTACCTCTCCTCCTCCGGCGAGGTGAACTCAATTGACATTGGGTTCGGGGACTATCAGTACACCTTCGAGTCCAACTAGTACGTGCTGCGTCGCCGGCTGCCCGACCCTCTGCCCGCCTGTTAACCGTGTTCCCGCCGTCCGGCCACCCAGCCTGATGAGCTACCTGCAAATCTACGCGGCCTTTGGTGCCCTGTGGGGCTGGGCCTTTGTGATGGCGGCCTCGGACACCTCGATCGCCGGGGCCATCGCCACTTGGTATTGGACACGCGACAAGAAGGTGCGCGCACTTTTAGGGGCCCTGGCCTGGCGCTGTGGGGAAAAGCCTCGCCCGCGGGAGTCCCCCTCTTGAGTTTTTTTTTTTTTTTTTTTCTTGCTCTCTCCTTCTCTCTCTGTTCCTCCTTCTTTCCCCTCTCCATCCGCAACCCCGCCGCCTTGCCGACTCCCTCCCTGCTCGCCTGCTGACCCTCTCCCCGGCTGCCTGCTGGGACTTGCTCGCGCGTAGAAGCTCCCCAAGATGATTCTCCTGCGGTCGGTGTATCGCACCTTCCGGTACCACTTCGGGTCGCTGGCCCTTGGCTCGATGCTCATCGCCTTGGTGCAGCTTATCCGGTATCTGCTGAGCCGCTTCCACAAGCAGGCACGCCGGACGTCCGAGGCGGGTGGCGCGCCGGTGCGCGCGCTGACATCCTGCATCTTCCGCGTGCTGCAGTGCCTGCTGTGGTGCTTCGAGCGGTTCCTGCGTCTGCTCAATCGCAACGCCTACATCATCATCGCCACCACCGGGTGCGGCTACTGCAAGGCCGCCAGCTCGGCCTTCAACCTGATCGTGCGCAATGCCTTGAGGTACGGCTCTTCCCGCTTGGCGGGACACTCGCGCCAGGCTTCCTTCTTGCTCGCCCTGTCCTCTTGGCGTCGGCACGGGGCTTTCTTTCTCATCATCACCACTCACTCGGCTTTTTCTCCCCCGGTGCTGTGGACGGGGCCCGCCCGCAGTCTGATCGTCGTCACCAAGATCGGCGACTACCTCCTGTTCCTGGTGACCATCTCGGTCCCAACGGCTTGCGCCTTCCTCGGCAACTTCCTCATCCTGAAGTATGCCCCTGACCCGACCTACTGGGTGTATCCCGTCCTTGTGCGTTCCACTCCCGCCCCGCACCCTCAGAGCCTTCCTTCTTCTTTTTTCTCGGCCGCCGCCCGCTCTCCACCATGCCCATTCTGACCTCCTCCTCTTGTCTCTCCCCTTCTCTCTCTTTCTCTTTCTCTCTCTCTCTCTCTCTTTATCTCTCTCTCTGTCCTCTTCTCTCCATTCTCTTTCTCTTTCTCTCTCTCTTTCTCTCTCTCTCTCTCTCTCTCTCCTCTTCTCTCTCTCTCTCTCTCTCTCCTCTTCTCTCTCCTCTTCTCTCTCCTCTTCTCTCTTCTCTTCTCTCTTCTCTTCTCTCTTCTCTTCTCTCTCCTCTTCTCTCTCCTCTTCTCTCCATTCTCTATATCTTTCTCTCCTCCCTCTTCCCACACGCACCGCGCGTGCGTCCGTGCCGTAGGTCATCATTTTCCTCACCTTTGGCGTGACGTACCTCTTTGTCAACGTCATGTCCATGACCGTGTCCACCATCTTCGTTTGCTTCTGCGAGGACGTCGAACGGAACGATGGCTCTCCTGAGCGTCCGTACTACATGATCAAGCGCTTGCGGCGCTTTGTCTCTTAGGCGACGCGTCTGGGCTTCTTGTGTCCTGTTTTCCTTTGGTCGCCGGCGACCGGTCCGAGCTTGCTCCTGCCGCCGTGCGTCCCCCTCGCGCGCCCTTGCCTGGGCTCCCGCTGTATTTCTTTCCCGGGCTGCCCCGAGGGCATCATATGCCAAATACACCCCTTCCTCCCCCTCTTTCTCTCTCTCTCTCCCTCCTCCCGTTCCGCGAAGTATTTTCTACCGGGAGAAGTCTGTGTATGTACATGTTCACATACACGGCATGCATACATGCATACATGCATACATACGCACACACACACACACACACACATGCAAGTGTCGTCGATCCATTTGCGAGCTGCCATCAACTCGGAGACCATGGCTCTACCGAAGAGCCCACATGAGGATCGACCCGGCGGTGGCCACATTCAAGCTGTCCCGGCCGTCAACCAGGGGGATGGCAATGCGCTGGCCAGGCGTGTGCAGACGCCCGGGGTGCTGGGGCCCCGGCAGTTGCGACTGCTCGATCGATGCACGCACCAGCCGCCCGACGCCCGGGCCCTCGGAGCCCAGCAGCAGGGCCACCCCCGGCGCCGGCCCCGCAGACCGAGACCCCTCACTGGCGGCCACCATGTCCAGCTCGACCACCCCAGGCCCCGGGCAGTCTCCGGCCACCAGGCGCAAGCCGTCCCGCTGGAGAAGGGCCACCAGGCCCGGCCAATCGCCACGAATGAAGCGCACCCCGGGGGCCGGGGCCCCGCTCGGGGCATCCCCACCGGCGGGCATCAGGGCCGGGTGGAAGCGATGCGACGCGCCAGCCGCCGACCGGAGCACCTTGTCGCCGGCCAGGTCGGCGCACCGGCGCCCGACCACCTCCGACAAGTCCACGCCCCGGGACCGGAGCTGAGCCTCCGGCCCGGAGCCGATCGCCGAGTCGGGGCTCGGCTCGTGCAGGCCGCGCAGCGAAGCCAGCACCCCGGCCATGGCCGGGTCCAAGCGCCGGGACACCGGGCCCGAGCGCGACACCGGCGCCGGGGCCGGGGCCGGGGCCGGGGCCTCAGCCGGCAGCGAGGCCAGCACCGCCTCCGGCGCAAAGCCCGCCAGTGGCGTCGGCTCCAGCAGGAAGATGACCGGCCAGGCGAGGCGGTCCGCCCCGGACCGGTGCCGAATCGAATCGGCCAAGCGAATGAGCGTGCCCAAATTCCCGGGGTCCGCCACGCCATCCAGCACCAGCAGGCGCCGGTCGCCCGGGGGCCGGATCGCCGAGCAGCTGCCCGGGCAGGCGGGGGGTCGCGCCGCATCGCTGGGCACCTGGCCCGAGGCAGGCGCATCCGCGGGAACAGAGCCGGCAGCATCAGCACCAGGGCCAGCAGCAGCGCCAGCAGCAGCGGCACAGTCAGCGCACAGGTGCTCAGACCACAGATGGCAAACGGGCGGCAGCCGGCCCGCAGGACCCGCCTCAGCCGCGTACACCCAGGGCGAGGGAAGTTCCACCGCCAGCAGGTCACGCGCCGAGGCGGCCGTGGCGCCGGCATGGAGCAGCGAATGTGCCGCACTGGTCAGGTAGGACTCGGTCTCCAGCAGGTACACCCCGGGCGGACGCCGGGACAGCCGGGCCTGCCGGGCCTCGGTCGGCACATACAGGTCCACGAGGGCCGAGGCGAAGGGCGCCATCTCCACCGAGCTGAGCAGGGTCAGCGGTCGCGGCCAGGCCGGCGGCGGCCGGCCAGCAGCCAGCCACGGCCCCCGGCGCTGGCCGCCGTACTTGCCGCCCTCGGCCCGGCCGTCGGAGCGCGCCTGCTCGTTGGCCGCCTGCCATTCGTGCAGCGGCAGCCCCAGGAGATCGCCGATGGCCCGGGCGCCGATGATGACGCACGGCTCCTCGGCCGCCGCGAAGGCCAGGTGCCCCCACCGGTGGAAGTCGTCCGAGGGGCCGGGGGGTCGGGCCCGGGCCGCGGCCTCCCGCTTGCCCGGTGTCCGGAGCCCGGCATAGTGCCGGACCAACTCCCGCGAGGCGGGCCGCACGTGCGGCAGGTCGGCCATGGGCGACCGCCGGTAGGCCGGGACCGCCGGCGCGGCCGGGGGTCGGGAGTTGCCGCCGTGCGACTGCGGGCCCGGGCGCCGGGCGGCCCGCTTGCCCGGCGCCGGCCCGGCCGAGGAGGAGAGCAGCCGATGTGCGAGCAGCGCGCCAGCCGGGGCCCTCGCTCCAAGCCAGGGCCCTGTGGCGGTGGGGATCATGAGCATGCGTGCGTGTGTGTGTGTGTGGGGGGGGGGGGGGGGGAGGGGGGGGAGACGCGTGGGCGCGGAGAACAGAGGGGCGAGGCGTCGGCCGGGATGCTCGGCGGTAGGCAGAGGAGGAGGCATAGATGCTGAGGCTGGCCCGGGCCTCAGCCGTGGCTCTTGCCCGGGCGACTGAAATGCCCTGGTGCTGGTGCCGGGCCCGCCCGCGGCGACGGAGGGGCCCGCGTCGGCCACCGACCGAGGACGGGCTGGAGATCGCACCTAGGCCCTCCCCCCCCACGAGTCCCGCGCGATTGGCCCACATGCCAACGCTCCATTTCCCACGGCCTCCCCCATCGCTGCCCGCGCCGCGCCCCCGACGCGCGCGCGCGCACACACACAGCCCCCGTCCTGCTCCTTCGCCTGGCGGTGTGTGTCTATTCCTCCCTGGCCGGGGGGGGGGGGGGGGGGGATGCCCACGCCCCGGGGAGGGACCGGGTGGGCCGGGGCAGCACGGAGTTCAGGGCCGCAGCGCGTTGGTGGCCGGGTCGGCCGGCGGCGGGGACGGTGTCGCCAGGCCGAGCGACGCCACGCGCTGCCGGTCTCGGGTGGACTGGGTGAGGGCCTGGGCCGCGGCCTCGGCACGCGCCACTTCCAGCCGCGCGGCGAACACCATCTCCTGGTCCACGAGGAAGCGCTGGGCTTGCCCCCGGAGGAAGAGCATGTCGTCGCGCGTCTGCTCCAGGGTCTCCACCAGGAAGGTTACCGCCTCGCCTATCCGCGGGGGGAGCTCCTCGTCTGGGGGGAGCGGGGTCAGCAAGGGGGGGGGGGGGGCAGGGACAGCGTCAGAGCCGAGCAGGCACGGGGGTGACAAGGGGAGGGGTGGATCGGCGGACAGGCCGAGAGGCAAGGCGCGGGGATTGGCTGGCCGGCGCACCGCGGTCAAGGAACGTGTCGAGGGTCCGCCGCACGAGGGGGGCATTGGTTTCCGATGGGCCCAGCTGGAAGAGCTCCGGGTAGCGCTGGCGAATCTGCGCCGCGGCCTCGGTGATTGCCGTCCGCCGTGAGGAAAGGTCGGGCTCGGACTCGACCTCGTGCGGCGGGCCCTCCGAGAGCCAGCCATCGCTGTCAAGCTGGCCGCTGGGCCCCGGGCCGAAGACCGAATACTCGCTCATATCCTCGGAGGCGCTGTCGTGGGCTTCCTGCGGCTCGTTGTCGGCGTCGTCCTCGTCGTCATCGCTCAAGAGGATGACCTCGTCGTCGTCCTCGTCGTCAGCCTCCTCGACGGGGGCCGTGGTCGTCGGGACCGCTGGCGCGGACGAGGAGCCGCCGGGTGCCGTGGCGCCATCCACAGGGGCATCCTTGAAAAGGGGGGGGGGGGGGCGAGGGAGCAGGCCCGGCAGGTCGGGCGAAGGGCGTTAGAAAAGCCCGATCAGGGGGACATGCCGCGGTGATGGGGTGTACCTGGGCAGCAGGGGCTGATTCGTCCGGCACCAGCGGGGCCCAGCCCTCGCGGCGCAGCTCACGCAGGCGGTCGAAGTAAAACTTGTTCAGGCGCTCCAGGCCGGCAATGCGGCCATTGGCCGCGTCGATCACCCGCTGGAGCTTCTGTCGCTCGGCCTGGAAAAGGGTCCGCTCGCTGGACAGCGAAGTCTTCTGCGCGCGGAGCTGGCGCTGTGCGGTGCTTAGCTGCTGCTTCAGCCGCACGCTTTCATGCCTGCTGATGTCTGGCATGTCCGAGGCGGCGTGCGCATGTGTCAGAGGAAAGGAGGGGGGGGGGGGGTACTTGGGCAGCAGGTGCGCGTGGGGATGGGGTGCGGCGTACCGCGGGTTTGTGCAAGAGGATCCGACATGGGCGGAGGGCAGCAACAGCAACAGCAGCAGCAGCAGCAGCAGCAGCAAAGGGGGGGAGAGGGGGGACGGGGGGGGGGAGGCGGGGGCAAGGCGCAACAGGCAACGGATGTGCAAATGCGTGTGTGTGTGTGTCCGTGGATGGGGAGGGGTAGCAGCGAGGGGGCGGGGTCGGCTGAGGGAGAGGCCACCCTGCCCCGAGATCGCGCGGCGGGTTTTCTTCTGGATCTGACCCACCCCAGTCCCCCGGGAGGGATGGAGGGCGGGGCGGCGGCCAGTTGTCTATTGGGTGTGGCGG